GTCCAACTCCCTGCAGTACAGGAATCCTGCCCACTGCCATCCCTGGGTTGGCTGAAACCACCAACTTTCTGGTTAACAGCAAGACACACTGACGCATTGTGCCTCTTTGCATGCATCCATGCTCACTTGAATGCATGTATTTGCAGCAGCTCCCCCATTCCACTCATAGACACACTTGAATGTGTGCAAAAGGGATCAATTCTCTACCCATATTCCCAATGTACTTCTATGCAGAACACAGAAACACACAAAAATGACGTAAGTCCTTCAGCTGCACGCAGTTTTTTGGGGACTTCAGCCCTACAGCAGCAGTTCCCCAAAGCCATTCTCTCCTCTACTTTGCTTATTTTGAGAAAATTTGGGGTGGGGGCAAAGTGGCAGGAATGTCTCCCTGAAACAGCTGCTGCAGATTTCAGGGTCTGATCTGCTCTGGAAACAATTTGGAGATTGGATCATGTTCCAAACATCCAGAACTTAAGTAAAATAAACCATTTTCCTTACCTATTTCCAGAGTAGACTGTGGCAGTACTAGTGTGTTTGATGTATCGCAATCAATTTTTCTATTGTCTAATGTTTCAGAATAGCTGAGAGCCATCTGCACACACTCTAGGGCCATCCATACTTCAATTTCCCCACAGCTTTCCCTCAAGGAAACCTACTGTTTACCACTGAATCAGAGCAAACGTCAATTGGGTTTTCTCCAGGTTGACGTTTGCTTCGATTTAGCCCTAAAGAATGGGATTCTCGGGGGAAAGCAGCGGGAGGCAAAGGCAAAACCTCTCAGACCATGCCTAGAAAGCATGTGATGAGTGGAGAACCTCTCGGACCCAAGCTTTCTAGGCATGGGACAAGCAGAAGTGCGGACAAGCTGTGTCCCACAGCTCCGTTGTTTCAGAAGCTGCAGACTGAACTCTTTCACCAGGAAAAGGTTCCAAGGCTAAGCTCTGATAAGTCGAGTCTCAGATTAATCCTTGCTTCCTGGACATGTCTGTGCCCAGCTTTAAAACATAGGGAGGAAGTTTAAACCTACCAATTCCCCATTCATGACAGAGGATCAAGCTATTACTTTCCCACTATATTACACTCTTGCAGTAATCTGTCAGTGTGACAAGGAATTTCAATCTAAGTGGGTTCTATTACGATTTACGATACCATTTGATTATGACAACGTTATCCATGTGTTTGAAATATCATACAGAATGTTTGCCCCTAGCCTGAGACTTTGTCTACAGAGTTTCAGCCTCAAGCCTTCCCCCATCTTCCCCCATCTCCTGCAGATGAGTAATAAACCCCTGCAAATAGAGGGTTATAATGGAAAGCACAAGTTTTGTTCAGTTGTTTTTTGAAAATGATTTTCTCCCGGCTTGATCTGATGAACCACAAACCACATATGAGAAATGTAACCATATGTTTATCTTGTTTACAACTATAAATGTGCCAAACAGTGCAAAAATGAAAACTAGAAGGGGAGCTAGTTTTCCTCAGGCTAAAGCTGGCTCTCAGATTATCGAAATATAATGTAGACATAGGACAGGATGGATAAGTCATATATGAGTTTCTTGCTTTACGTGCTTGCTCATCTCGCTAAACTCAGTCCATTAGAAAACCACAGCTTTGATGCTCCAGTTCTGTTTCACTTCAGTTGAGCTGGCAGAGGCATATGTGGATCAGCCTTTAACAGAAAATATGTACCGTATATGGAGGTTTTGCCAGGGCTTGAACGTGACCATTCCACACATTCAATGCATGAGTAGAATTCTATGCTGAGCTCTTCAGATATGTTCAAGCATTGCAGCTTGCCAGATGGAATGGTCCCCGCTCTCCTCTCCCCATGCGCTGTTCTGGGGTTTCTCCTGAACCCCACACCCTGAGACGATTCCAGGGAGACGCAGGGGGAGTAGGGAGGAAATTCCCATTGCTTCAGTGAAAATGCTTGTGCAGGATTTTTGCTGATAGGGATGGTTCAGTGATTCCCTTGTGTGTGTGTGTGTGTGTGTTGATCTGCAATAGTCCAGGCAACAGAAGAAGAATCAAAAGGATACTGCAGCCAGCTGAGTCCACAAATGGAAATTGTATTGCAACCCCACACACAAGCTATGCCCCCTTCCTGCTTGCTAGATTTCTGAAAGGTACTGAAGTGGTAGTTATAGGAGGAAGAGGTGCTCCTGAACAGGCAAAGAATGTCCTAAGTTTCTTTTTTTAAAAAAAATAATAATGATATTTATATTTTTCAGGTTTATACATTTCACTGATTTCACAATCATTTTAACATTTCTTTCTGCGGTTCCTTGCATTCATTTTTAATATCTTCTGCATATCCTAATTAACTTAATTTGCTCATTTAATCCATCTTCTTTAAATATATACAAATGTCCTAAGTTTCTATCGAGAGACCAACAGGAATGGGGGAGAGAAGGAGAGAGATGAAACAGAATCGCAAGGTCTGGGTTGGGGTTTCTCTTTAAGCATAACTATTTCTTTGCTGCATGAGTCGCAGTGTAGTCTGCCAGGTGTTGCCAAGGAAGCCCATTTCCTTGCTACTTTGTGTGTTATTGCGGCAACTTGCGGCAAGAAGTCTACTTGGGAATGTGAATCTAGCATTGATCAACAGGGGCAGAAGGCATTGCAAGTATACACGGGCTTCTCTCTTTTAGACCTTTCCACCTTTCATTCAGCAGGCTTGGGAACTCTGGAATGTGTTGAATTCCCCCCTCTCTTTACTCAATTCCAATCTAATTGCCACAGAGCACCTCTGTTGTATTGTCCCAGAGGTTGAAGAAACCATATAGGAATCATAGTGAAGCTAGAACAGGACCATGAATGTATTAGCATCTATTAAGGTCAAAGACCCACACTCAAAAAGGTGTACACACAACCCCTTTGCACTGCATACAATTCTGAACCTAACACCCTAAATAGAAGAGAACTCCTTTGTAGACTCACCTACGCATCTCTCCAAGACAAAGGTGTTTCTTTTAGTTTAGCCTGGGAAGTCCCATCCACAGATTCTCCTCCTTCTTTTGCAAGCCCCTCAAGTCTATAACTGCTTGGACACACCAGCAATTCTCTCTTTTGGTCTTTTGGCACTCCTGAGCTGCACCCTTCTCCCCTCCAGTCCTTCTTTCCCTGAGCTTCCACTTTCCCTTCCCAAAATTTGTGGGCTCCTCCCTTTTATCTTTGGCTTCACTTGCTTTAAGTAAGAGCCTAAGTGGAAGAATAAGCCACCATCCCCTCTTCCAGTCTAACCTACTTCCTTTTCTCAGTCCTATTGCAATTATCCCCCTTCTTCCTCTGCCTCTGGGAGAAGGAGATGGGCTGAGGTGGATCTCTAAATACGTTTTTTTTTCTGATTTTCCTTTGCCTAAGTTGTTTCAACCTGTGTGTTGTTGTTGGAATCATTTACCATTCAAAGTTAGGCGGATATGGGAAACCATGGAGGTTACTTCCATATGGTCCAAGCCAATATTGCCACAGGCCATGCTGGTACAGGAAGAAAACACCTTCACCTAAGCAACATGGCTCCTCTTTCCTCTGTATAAGCATTACAGATGAGGCAAAGGTGCAACGCCGACATGTAACTTGTTAATTTAGAGCCTAACTATACTAGCAAAAACAACCCTAAACACACAAATAAACACACACACACATGCAGCAGTCATGGGGAGCAACTGATTTTGATGAAGTTCACAATGTGTGTGGAGGGGAAGTTTAACCCTTTCCCTTCTTACTGTTTTCTCAATAAAAAACTTCCCTCACCTGCTGTTTTTATTATTTTTTCACTGGTGTGGTTGCAAGTGACTCATTTATCTTCATGTCAAGTTTGGCCCTAATATTCCAGATCACAGTGACTTCAAAGGATCTTCCATAATAATTGGATTGTTAGAAAGGCTATTTTCTTATGATCCTAATGCATTCTGACTAATTCAACCTCGGCCCCTTGAGTTGAAAGACGACCGTTTCTAAACAGGGACTGGAGGCAAGCCTATCACCTACATGTCCCCGAGGTGATGTGAGCTGACCTTGCTGAAACTGCCAGGGCTGCACAGTAATAGCTGGGCCTTGCACTAAACCACTTTGCAGAAACATTTTTTTGTCCTGGCACCATTTATCATTTTTACTTGTGTGTGTGTTTTGTTTTCTTGGACCCTTTTCATTCCACACATGTCCAAAGGGGAAATGTTTGCCAGAGTTGGAAGCTAAAGCAACTTAAGGGTTCATCCATTCATTTCTCCGAAGGGTCTGGCAATCCTTTCCTCTAATTGCATTTTGCCTTAACTGAATTAAACCTGCTGTTTCTAACACTCGAGGAGCAAATGAAAATTCTTAATAGTGTGGCTGTGATTTCTTGAAATCTCTATGTACTCGTCGGCATTCTCAGCGCGCAAAAATAAAAATAAAAAAATGGAAGCATTGATGTTAAATACCTCGCCTGCTAAATTCCTCTTGAGCTTTTGAATATGCTGGAACACTAAAGCCAAATACTGCTGGAGTCAGAATTGCCAAGGGCAGCAGGGAAGCTGGAAGATGTATGTTTTGCTCCAGGAACTGTGCTGGTCAGGGCAAGATTCCATGGGATGAACTGGAAGGAATCGCTGCTGGTTTCATTTCAGCGCTGCTATGAAAAGGAGCAGTGTGTGCCATTAGCCAGTACAAGTTGCCAACTGTTTTAAGCATGCTAAATAGCAAAGCAGCAAGAATCCACTCTGAATGGCAGACCATCCCCCTCTTGGAGGTGGCTTTCTTGGAAGGGCCCTTCCTACAGCTTACAATGGACTTGTGACAGCAGGGCTGTCTGCCTAAATTGTCTGAGACATTATTCTGTTATACATTTTCCCCTTTCCCTCCCTCAAGCATTTCCCCAAGACATCAGGAGAATGCCCAATGCACAGAATAAGGAATCTGCCTTATAACTGAGTCAGATCATTCATCTGTCTTGCTCAGAATCATCTACACTGACTGGGTCTCCAAGGTATTGGACAGAAGGGTCTCTCAGTCCTCCCTGGAGATGCCAGGAATTGAACCTGGGACCTTCTGTGTGCAAAGCAGATGCTCTTCCACTGAGCCACAGCTCTTCCCCTCAATCCTCAGCACACTGACCTGGCTACACTTTGGGGACAGAAGGTATAAGAGGAGCATCCACAGCCTTATTAGATCAGTTTCAGCCGATGATATGAACAAAAGTACTTGGCACACAAACACATACACACACAACTCTTTAGTGTCTACTGCTCCATCCTTGTTGGCTAGTGAAAGCTAGTCAGGTAAGGATTTTATTAATGCATCAACCCCTGAATAGCTCAGTCGGTAGAGCATGAGACTCTTAACCTTAGGGTCGTGGGTTCAAGCCCCATGTTGGGCGAAAGATTCCTGCATTGTAGGGCTTTGGACTAGATGGCCCTCATGGTCCCTTCCAACTCTATGATTCTATGAAATCATTGAGTGAATTATCAATTTTAATTGTCTGGATATCTTTCATTTGGGCTTCCAGTTGGGATTTGGAAAAGGTGGCCTTGATCACCCTGATAAATAACCTGCATTCACTGGGCTACAGAGCACATACTTGAATTGCTAAATATCCCAGGTTCAATCCCAAACATAGAATTATAGAATTGTAGAGTTAGAAGGGACTCTGAGGGTCATCTCCTCCAACTCCCCCAATGCAGGAATCTCAACTGTGGATTTGGATTTCGACCTCAGATATCTGGTGTCAATCGAATAATTGTTCATCCCTAAAGATACTTCACCTATCAGTTTACATTGTCAGTCTCTGAAAAAAGGCAAACAGTGGTCTGCCTGCCTCACAAGGTTGGTGTGAGGGTAAACAAAATAAGGAGAATAAAAGCATATTATATAATGGCAGACTACACTGTTAAATCACAATATGCATTTTCTATGTCTTTAACATCCAGTTCTCAAAAAGCTGCCTCTTTATCACATATTAGCTTACATAAGAAATTGAACTGCAACAGATGGATAGGGGTGTGCACATGAGAGCAAATTTGTTATGGCTCAATTTAGTTCCACAAGACGAACTAAATTGTCTGATTGGGGAGGAGCAAAGGCAGTGCCTCTGTATATTTTCAATTATTGTGGGTTCTAAGGGTGGAATACTCAAACTTCCATTCCCTCATGGGTGCTGCTTCACCTCAGCATTCAGTGGAGACAAGTAAGTTCAGCTTTCTGTTGATTGGGAGCAATGCCTTAAAAAGGACACTGTGGTTACTTAGAGCCAACATGGGTTTCTCAAAAACAAGTCATGCCAAACTAATCTTATTTCTTTTTTGATAGAGTTACAAGCTTAGTAGATCAGCAGAATGCTGTGGATGTATCATGTCTTGATTTCAGTAAAACTTTGGTCAAAGTCCCCTATAATATTATTGCAGCGGAGATGGTAATAGGTGGGTTAGACAATGTTACTCTTAGATGGATTTGTAGCTGGGGACAAATATAAGGTTCTACACTTAGGCAAGAAAAATCAGATGCACAGATATAGGATGAGGGGCACCTGGCTTGACAGCAGTGCAAGTGAAAAAGCATATGGGGTCTTTGTAGACCACAAGGTTAAAAAAAGCTAATGCTCTCTATTCTGCCTTAGTCAGACCACAACTGGAATACCATGTCCAGTTTGGGGCACCACAGTTTAAGAAGGATATTGACAACCTGGAACATGTGCAGAGGAAGGCGACCAAGATGATCAACGGTCTGGAAACCAAGCCTTATTAGGAACAGTTGAGGGAGCTGGTATATTTAGCCTGGAACAGAGAAAACTAAGAAAACAAATTACCAGAAAGGAGATTCCAACTAAACATTAGGAAGAACTTTCTGAGGTTGAGAGCTATTTGGTAGTGGAATAGGCTCCCTCAGAAGGTGCTGGATGTTTTCAAGCAGAAGTTGGAAGGCCATCTGTAAGGGCTGCTTTAGCTGTGATTCCTGTAATCCAGGGGGTTGGACTAGTTGGTCCTCGGGGTCCCTTTCAACTCTACAGTTCTATGCTTCTATGAACATGACTACTGCAGTGAAGCACAACAGCCACATACAACCTTCCCTTCACTGGCACAAGCACCCACACACACACACACACACACGAAGCCTATGAGAACCATCACACCTAGTGGGACTAAATCACACCAAGTATATATGAGGAGAAAAGTGGACAGTACCTTTAAAACAGGGATGGGGAACCTTCCCCCCCCCCAAGAGCAGCATTCCCTTCTGGGTAACCTTCTGAGAAGCCACAGGCCAGTGGAGGGCAGGGGCCACAGGCAAAAGTGGATGGAGCAACAAATACAATTTCCCCCTTTCTACTGTTGACTACTTTCTATACGCATCTTACTAGCCTCAGTCCAGGCATGCAAAAGGCATTACTGCAGTTCAGGGACACATTCCAGTTAGACAAAAACACTCAAGGAAGGTGCAAAGGTGTGTTGGTGAGGACATGGCTGGGAATAGGGGATGCAGCTGAGGAGAGGATGTGATGTGAGGAGAGTCCTGAGGGCAAGATTGAGACCCAGGCCTGAGGATGTCCATCTATTAGGAACTGGGGTTACCAAGGGTTGTAGATGGGTCCAGCCCCCAGCCTTATAATGTACCTGAGCATTAGCACATCCAATATCTGCATCACTGCTATTCCTGAGTAGGCAGTTCCTTTGCTTCTCAACTCTGCTTTCTGACTAGCCATAAGAATCAACCGGGAAATGTGATGTTAAAATGCCTGCTGAGAACTGCAAGCAACAATTTGTCTTGGTGATGGTATCTACCCTAAATAATGGTGTCAGTTTCAAATAACATGTTCTTCTTGGTTCCTGAGGCATTTTTCCCCATGCTGTATTTAAATTATAAACTCTGTTCGCAATTTTTACAACAGATAGAAACAATCTTATACTTTGAAAACTGTGTAAGCTATATTGTGTTTGAAGCTGTCAGTTCAATGCAATTCTGAAACATTCCTGTGCATAGATAACTATCTTTGTGGGCACCTTCTTAAAGCTGTGATTGGTAATAATGTTCAAAAATTTCACATGTGGGGACTAACACACACACACACGCCAATGCTCCAACCTTGGGGCCCAGCTCATTTTGAGTTTGCCACCAGTCCATCTTACTTCTCTGTTCCTCCAGCACAACCACCACATCAGCTTAGATACCCTTGTATATAAGGGGAGAGACCAGTGGGGGTGGAGGGTTGCTGCAGATGTAAGTAGTCTTGTAAGCCTCATCCTTAAGGCTTAGATGTTCCTGAGCATATTATTCAGGAATATAATTTCCTGCTACGATGCATAGGAGTTTTATTTTCCTATGCCTCCAAATTCAATGAATTGGACCAGTCTAGGCAGAGAAAACCAAAACTCCCAGGCTGGTCAAGTTCTTCACAAGTTTCTTTATCAGATGATTGGTCCATCTACCTCATTATTGTCTAAACTGATTGGCCGCAACTCTCCAGGGTTTCAGGGAATCTACCTGGAGATACCATGGATTGAACCTAGGATTTTCTGCATGCAAAGAATGTGGTCTGTCACTAAGCTAAAGTCTTTCCCCTCATTGAAAGTACAGTAAAGTTGCATGGAGAAACAGGAGTAGGTGAACACTGGAGACAAGCTATCTGAGGCTTCTTTTTCAGGAAAAGCGAAAACCTCAAGAAGGCACAAAAATTTCCCATGAATTCTCTAAGAAAATTCAAGGGGGGACCAATTCAATGATGCGGCAAGCCAGAGGAGTTTGCCTGCCACTGTTGATTGGCCACAGAATTCACATATGCCCTCCAGAAGTTGTTGGATGTCAACTACCATCAGCCCCAGCCAGCATGGCCAATGGGCAAAGCTGATGGGTGGTTGAGGCTAATACAGACAGGTCTTGCTATCCAAACACAATGCATTCTCAGGAAATTGTGTGTTAGGCAAGCATTTGCATAATGAACTGGCGATTTCTATTGATTCCTATGTGTAAATTTCTAATCCATTCCTTACCATGGTATGTTGACCCCCAAATGATGAAAATCCACTTTGAATCCACTTGTTTTTATGCTAACTTGCTCTCAACCTGCGAAGCTTATGAAGCTTACAATGCAATTCAAACATACTCTACACAATACCTGAACATTCAAAGTAAGAGCAACATTTTACAAGTTTAATATGGGTATGTATTATGTCCATTGAAATGTGCACAAATTATGAGGAGTTATAATTCATGTTTTTCATGCAAACTTTATTCCCCAGTTAGTTTTTAGCACAGCTTTATTTCTTCGTTTTCATCTCTTTATCAAAGCTTCCACAGTATTTTCACCATACATGTAAAATTGTATGATCTAAATGCAACCAGTCTTTATTGGCTTTTATGAAAACTAGGGGCAAAACCAGCTCTTAGGCAAACTGCTCCTTCCATGCAAACAGCCTACTATTGGTATTAAGATTTTCAAAATTGGTATATTCACATCTTCAAAAACACCTGGGAAACAAGCATAATGTGAGGTTTCACATAATAAAACTCCATATACATTATGAAAAACTTCTGTAAGTGATTGTAGGTTTTATGTATACACATACACAGCTCCAAAATCTACCTCCACACAACCCTTTTAATATCCACTTTCTCCCCCAACCCCACATCTCTATTTATAATATGTGATTTTAGCACATTGTAAAATGTCAAAAGATGACCAACGACAATCAAAAGCAAGCCTTAACAAAATCTTGTTTTATAAACTCTTGAGAAACCGTGACATATACTGCAACCTTATTCCCTGTATGTCTTCCTCTTTGTAAATGATTTGCTTCCCTCCCTTCCTGTGTAAATAAACAGAAATGTGTCTGTATATTTGGTGTTTTTTTCCTTTGGTCATGATAATCAAGGGCTATTACAGCAATAGATCTTATCTGTAGAATGGCAGTCCCTCTGCACCTTCAGTTCAGATTTTTGTTTATGCTTGGCTGCAATTGTGGCTGTTTCTGATAGTTTTAGGTCAGCCATGACAGACTATGGGTGACACTAAATAAACAAGCTTGGAGACTGGGACCAGCCAGGAAGGAATGATACTAGTACTCACTCTTTGAATTTCCTTCATTAATCAACTTTTCTTATTATTTAAAAGACCTTTCTGTGTTTGAGTCTGTGTATTATGCTGAGAATAAGATGCAAGTGTCTAAGAATCTCAAAACAGGTAAGTCAGAAGGAAAGGTTTGACTATGGGTAGCATAAAAAGAAAAGTGTACTCAGTCTTATAGGTAAAAGAGTTTTGTGCTTCTTGAGAGTTTGTTTATAATTTTTTTTACCAATCCAAATTAAACAATCCCACCATCCCAAGCATGATCACTAGAGCTTCTACTACCTGCAAAGCTCTGTAAGTTATCCTAGTTCCCAGGTCTTATTTTGATGCCCCTATTTAGCTCTCTTGCCCCTACTTCCATTTCCCCTTTCTCCTTACAAAACTCTTCTGATTTCAGTAAAAAAAACACCAAACTTTTCCAATCAGAAACCTCTTACAAAGCAAGTAAAATTGCCTGAGGCCTCCCCACCCCCCACCTCCTGAGGCCACAAAACTCAGATTCTCAAAGAGCTTTAATTGTATTCTATTCCCCACCCCATCACCCAGATTGGCTTCAGGATACATATAGTCCTCAAAGGCACAACGTAAAAGGGAATGTTGAGTGGCATCATGTATACAAGGAAGCCATTGCATTCAAACAGGCAGGTGTAGGTGCCTTGGCTGCTCTATGCTGTGGTGCTACATAATATACAGTTTGCACTCTATAAATGCAAAGCATACCGACACAATGCATTTGTCCACTTCCTTGTCAGAAAACTGTATCTGAAAACTATCGCATCTCCTTTGAGGCCACCAGCCAATGCAACAAAATCCTAGCCACTCTGGCTGACACTGCTAGAGTTTAATTAGTTCCACATTTGCTTCTTAGCCAGCTCCAATAAATATGCACGCCTTGGCACAGCTGCATCTCAGCATGTGCACTGAAATTGAAAATGTTTCCTCTGAGGCTGTTGCAATCTTGGCACCACTTCACTTTGCCAGAAGCTGCATCAGTTAACAAATTGCTTGTCCGTTCATAATCACAGCGTAGGTAGATACTTGTTATATGCTTGCAAACATGTGGGCCCAGACTAATTGCTCACCCACACAGTGAAGTAACCATAGAACTCACCCCAAGCAGTTGGTTTATAGCTAGAGATAAGGAAACCGCACCTCCTGGTTTTTTTTTGACTTGACTGACATGAAAACCTGCCAAATGAGCTAGTTTGCTCCAAATAGCTTGGAGTTGTTTCTCACATACTCTAGCCCAGTGGTTCTCAAAGGGTGTGGCTCAACACACTGGTGTGGCAGGAGAGGGTGGCAAGTGTGATGGGAAGGTTCGAGGACAATCAAAGAAACATTTAAACATTTCAGTGTTGTATAATATAGTATCAAAATATTCTTTTTTATTGCAGAATGTGGATAGATGTCTTTTCAAAACGAGAGCAACAGCATCAAGTGATACTGTGTTGAATTTGTATACATACTTTAGGTACACATGTAAGAGGCCCGTTTATAATTATATTTTGGGAATGATTCATGTTCTTATGTAGCTGCATTTTACATGAGTTCACCTATATAAGTGATGAAATTGACATAAAATTCTATTCTAGTTCCTGATCAATGTAAAATATAACTCATTTTGACCCCCCTTTTCCTAACTCTTCTTCAGGCACACCAACCCAGCTGAAAACAACAGGATTTGGGCGTATGGCTGGGTAACTATAAACTTTATTCCAAAATGTTTCGCTATGCTAGGAAAATGATGGGGCATGTTAGGAAACTTAGCTTTATTTATTTTTTTAAAGCAAGGTGGGCTAGAGGAAGTTGGAAAGAGAACCAAATCTTTAGTTGGAGTAGGAAATAGTATCTTAAGATTCTCATTCAATTTTCTCTGATAGCTTTGTCAAGGCACCACCTTCATAGGTGTACAAATCAGTGCAGTTCAGAACGGATTGGAACACCATCTTGATTCAAAATGGCGTCGGATGGTATGCAAACATAGACAAAAACTGGCTTTTCCATCTTGGGACTTGCCATGCCAAACTGGGCAACAATATCTCAAAAAGTGTATGAATGCATAGAGGACTGACAGATGGACAGGCAGCGGGGAAAGCATAGATTTTTATGCCATTCTTCATGCAAATTATTTTCCACTTTCCTTTATGTTGCCAAGTCTTTCTTAAAATCTCAAAATATTGTCTTCTATAGGAAGGGAAAGGCTGTACCTCAGCAGCAGTGCATCTGCCTGGAGAGCAGCTGACAGTCAGTGCAGACGCTGCTGATTGGATGGATCAATGGTCTGACTCAGTGTAAGGCTGCTGCCTTTGTTCCTAATATAATATTATTATTTGACTGTAGTGTAATCTGTCAACAACGTATGCATCATTTATTTCGGTTACAATAATTTCAGTTACAATCTTGAGTGTGTGGTCTTTTATCACTGGCTATGTTGTACTCCATGACTCATTGGGTTGGTAACATGCAAGCCCAGATTAGATCAACAAATTGATACTGGGTTTGAACCAGGAAGGCTTGGGTGCATGCCCTGAGTCTCTGCATCTTGTGCCACCGGGGATCTAGAGGAGAGAAGGGAGCTGCACACATTTCCAGCTGGGGCATTGACATCACAGCCCACAACCCTCCTGGCCTAGAAATGCAGGTGATTTGCCTAGAGTGCAAATCCTGTGCTACCAGCTTATATAAAGACTCTTAAGAATTGCTGCCTGCAGGCTCCAGACCCCCCCGCTGCACTACCCGAATTCAGCCTGTCATCAGCCTTCAGTTGCCTCCCTGCCCGGCTCTCTTGCCCTTGGGCCTGAGCGGCTGACAAGTGCGGACGAAATAGTCAGTATGGTGTCTACCACCTAGACAGCAGTTATCTCTATCAGAAAACAATAATCAACTTCAATATTAGCTGACAGGTATGTTGACTCTCTCAATGACATACTTGTTGGTCTTCTCAAAATGGCAACCATCAAACCTTTCGCTGACAGAAGCACTGCCTCTAATGTAACAAGGTGGCGTGTGGGAAGACTGTTGTGGATAACTTTGTGTGCAGTCATCCATAGCCCCAGTCCTGTAAATAAAAGAAGGCTGTCTCACAGGTTATAATTAAAGTCCCATCCATCACCGTTAACGGCACCTTTTGAACACAAATCCTTTGTGCAAGTTGTTGAGATCTACAATTAACTTGCAAGTGTCTGTCTTTCGAGAATGGTCAAATGGCTTCTTCCAGAAGAAGGGTGGAAGGATTTTGAACTTCTATCCTACTGAACAATTCATAATGATTCACCCCCTCACACACACACATTTCCAATAGCCAAACCTAGGTGGGTTGATAAATCGCTGTGAAAGTGGTAAGCTGTCTTCTTGCTGTGCTCTGCACATTATGAATGAATGTCCGACCTGGCTTCTTCTGCACAGCTGAAAGTGCTAGAAGGCAATGTCAGAGAAGGAAGAAGGTGAAGATAGTCTGCATTCAACAAGAGAAAGTCCATAGTTTTATTATTTGTTTTGTTGTTTACATTTCTAATGCTCCTTTTCATGCTAAGCATACAGCAATAAAACATAATATTACAATAAAATCAAAATGCAACACAATGTTATCAGATGTACAGAAAGAACAGATTTAAGCAGAGCAAATGAAATGAGAGCAGCTAAATAAACGAGAGCCTGAAGCCTCTTCCATAATGGCCAAATTGTGGTTAGGCCATTGTGTCTAAACTAGGCTACTGAGTCCTTTGGTGCCAGATAATCATGCTAGGTAAGGAATATTTGTTAAATAATAATAATAATACAGCAACATTGGGGCTTGAAAGCTTACAGAGTGCACATTCCTTCCACAGTGAAGAATACTATTTGCTGAGAGATTTAAGCTGAGTGTGTGCTGCTTGGTGCTGGATGCAGAAGAGATTGCAAATTAGTAGTAGGAGATCCTGTACATGATATTAAAAGTGATATTTGGCATAATGCTCCTTGAACATTTGTTGGTGTGGAAGTGAGACTCTGTGTGCTATATAAAACACAGAAGTACCATAGCCTGTATCATACCAACGGCTTACAATGTGCATATTGCAGATGAGGCTGGATTTCGACAGCTCTGTGTTTATCACTTTAACCAGACCACACATTTTTTATTTTATATAATTCATTTTGTTTCATTTACCTCATATTGCTTAGCCGCCGCCCCCCCATGGGCTGCCCATAGACCACCCTGAACCCACCCTCACTTTTTCAGGTGCATTTGTATTAGCGGAAGGAAATGGAAGTCAGTGTATGTGCCATCCCCCCCTTCCCATAAATATATCCCAGCATTCCATTTCTGGAAATTGGAAACAAGAGTGTAGTGTTGTGGACACATAGTGAGTTATTGACCCCTTAATGTTTTGAGAGCCAGGTTCCAGCCTGATTCCTACCTCAGCTAGCTTGCCTCCATCCTCCCAGCCTGCACCCTCACTCACTCACTCACTCATCATCGTTGCCTTGCCTCTTCCATATAGGCACCTGAACTGCTGGCAAAAATGACAGTGATTCCCCCACCCCCAAGTGTCAGCTCTGACCCATTCACTACCCTACACTGACTGGAGGGCAGGAATAGGAGTAAAAGAAATAAGGAAAGCTTTTGCAAGTTGTAGGGAGAGATGACAGGGCTTTGGGTTGGTTGGCACACTAGAGTGTGCATTGTTTGAGGGTGTGGCAGGGGGGTTCTGTCCGTCCCTCACAGCAGCCCCCTCCCTTGGTGATCCACAAGCAAACACTAAACCTCGTGACCTTGAACGACTAGTAATCTTACAAATAAATAAATGAAAATCCAGCCTGCAGTCCTTACAGAGTAACCCAACTAATAGCTCTGTCTCGGGTACTTCTGCTCAGAAGTAAGAGAGTATGGAGAGCAAAGGAACTTCCTTCCAGGTGAATGCATCTAGGATTGCCCTATAAAAGGGTAATAAGGAGATGGGCATTTTTTTGGGACCACCCTGTCATTTGGTCGACCTACCAATGAAGCATGGGTGCATGTTAGTACAATATCCCAATGTTGCAATGCTACAACATTTTGATTTCGTACAAAATAAGATACAGGAGAAGATGAAAAATCCAAGAATTGTCAATGCCATGGTTTTCAAGATTTAAAAATCCACAATGAACAATCCACCCAGGAAAGGGAGAAAACTACACCCAAAAAGGAAACGAAAAAGAAATGGGGCAAGAAGGGTTGAGACTGGGTGGAAGGGACATGAGCAGCGAGAGGGAAGAGGAGTTAAGAGACAGAGTGGAGGGATATATGGCTTTACATCAACCTGTAACAGCGCTGTGTAATTGATTTTGAAAACCTTTTTGGGTTATGGGTGGTTAGTGGTACAGCAGATTTTAACTTAAGAAAAATCAATATGAAGCAGAAACTTCATATGGTTCTCCTTCCCCCCAAAAAGGAAGGTGCAAGTGACCTGTAAAAGTGCTACTCAAAGTGGTGGTCTAGGAGCCATCAGCTGCTGGTCTGTGTCTGTTCCACCACAACCCAGGTTGGATGGGACATTTCAGGGAACCATATGTGGTACTGGTCCCAGGCAGAGGGGCCAAGAATAGCTGGTCCACCAGATCAGTTAGTTTGAAATGCACTGATCTATAAGCCACAGCGTAGATGAGCCATATGCATTTAGGTGAGCTTCCATGTGTGCGTTCTGTTGTTAAAAGTTATTTTGTGCTGGGGGTCACCAGGGGCGCATTGGAAGATGGCCGACAATACCATCTCTCCGGCTCACACGGGGTAATTAAGAGGCTGATATGGGAGTATGCAGCCCCCAAATTGTTACCCCAGGGAATGGGGAAACACTGCCTCGCCTGCGGTTGCCATAAATCACCCCCGGTTCGAAAGAAGGGGGTGAAGGCACTAGGCGCATAGCCTCCGTGCGAGCCGGCTCTCCCAGACGCTGTCTCTGATCACGCGAACTGGCTGCAGGAGCTCAAAATAAACCATTAGAGAAGAAGCAAATGCACATATTTCAAGTGAAGAACGGGAGTTAAGACTGCTAACTGAAGTGACCTCTATGAAGCAAGTGCGAAGGGTTGGACTTAACAGGAATATATCATGAAGAAGATACATCAAAGGGTTGGTATGTCGGAACGGGACTGGATGGGGGGGGACTTTTTTATTTTCTTCTATGTGATTACCCAAGAACCCCTCCCCATGAAAGAACCATCACATAACTGACCTAAGCGGGATGATTACAAACTGTGTGGAAATGAATTATTAACCAAAAGTTTGGCTTATGGAGATCCGGAAAAGAATAAGGGCTTTTGGAATGGCGCAGCAATAAAAAGGGAGTCGCCATGTTGGCAGGTTTTGCCGAAAGACTGATGACTGAGGAGTGGCAGCCGTATGAATATGACCCTTGGATGAATGGAAAAACCCACACAGGACTACAATTGGTTTCAATTCGCTTGTGGAGACTATCAGAGGTCACAAAGAAAAAGGAAAAATATATGAAAACAATAAGAAGAGATGTGGAAAACAATAAGAAAGGATTGGATAGAATTGTGAACATCATTTGGACAGATTTGTGGACATTAAAGCAGCAGCAACAAGATAATTGGATCCCTTTCGGAACTTGAAATATGGGTACCCCCAACAAAAATTAAAAATTTGGCTCTGTAATTTGGAATTAATGTGATTTGATTTGATTGGTCTGTTAATAAAAATTATTTTTTTAAAAAAGTTATTTTGTGCTTCCACCTTTCAGGTTTTGATAGCGCAGCCATGCCCTTTTCACATGGGAATCCTACAAGATAAAGAGAAAACTGAAGCCTGCTCCCGAAGCACTTCTTCTCTTTGGGAGACCAGTAAAGCAATATAGTGTTTCTTCTCTACCTCCTGTTTCAATTTCCATTTTTAGTTTCTAAAGACAGAATATAATAAAAAGAAATCATGTATTCATCAAGAATTCTCAAAAGTGTATTATATTAAACTGACAGCACTGATACCACTATTCATGTTGAAATAATTAGCAATTCCGAGGCTATTAATAGTATGTTATACCACTGTTGTAGCCAGGGAAGGCTGAATGAAAAACCTTTTGGTGACTCTTGCTCCTACTAAAGTTTAATTAGCCCAAGTTATTGACCTAATGTTTAATATAACAGTGCACTCTAGAAATGATTGAGTAAAGAGCTCTCAAAGTGAGGAACTTTCCAAGTAAAGGTATTATATTTTCTTTATCCTAGAACAGCATAATAGGGCTGTGAGCATTTAAACTCCTTTCTTCTTTTTTGGCAAAGTAATCGTGTAATTGCTAACATCACCTATGGGACTGAAAGCCTTTGTATTTAATT